CTTGGCTGCAATGCCTTCCAGAGGCAAACATCCTGCAAGAGACATGAAGAGGTAATTTGTGTGAGCAAAGAAAGAATTAAAAGTTGTGGTTATTGATGGGGCAGAAAAATTGTTTGCCTTCTCTCCCTCATTAAAACACTGCTCTGAGCTACTAGAACTCACGTCAGCTGGTGAGGGAAAGAAGCCACAACATTGCAAACTGGAAGGTTTTATAGAAATTGGAACCAGGCATTAAAACATCTAATGGTCTCAGTCTCCTCACTGGAGTGTGGTTCCACAGGTGCTGTTTTCCTTCCAAAATCCTGCCAAAGTGGCCATTGTTCATATGTAAGCCTTGGCAGGCAGGGAGTCAATATACTTTACAATATATTTTGTGAAGGGTTTGAGACATTTCAACGACAGGATAAGACACTATATTTTATTATCATGAATTAGGATATGGACGAGCAAATCCCTGGTCCTGTAAGAGACAGCTCCCTTCCCATGGTTGTGGATCCCCATATGCATTTTCCCAAATATTAAAAAAAAGTTATTGCCACAGGGAAAGAGAAGTGAGTCTCACTTGGTCTCCTGGTCAACAATCTTAATCTGTCACTCATCTCATAGCCATTAGTGGGACTTTGCAGGTTTCGCAGACAATTCATTGTGAAGTAGGGTGACCATATTGTGTAAACCAAATCCAGGGACACATAAACAAACCTGAACTCACCACAATTCCTGATGCTGGCAGTTACTGGAGAAGCTTGTTGGATAAGTGGCTGTGTTTCTCTGATGAGTTTATCTATTTTAGAATTGTTCTTGCTCACGTTTGTTGCTGACCTCAAGACAGGGTAAATTTGAGATGTTTCAACATATAAAGAATTTTAAGAACGCAAGTACTTTCAATAGTCGGGAAGTCTTGTTGAAAACAAACTGTATAGAGTATAGCTCTGTAGCATTGCAAACAGCTGTGGGATTGGAACACACATCTGCATGTTTCAGTACCTACCTTCACAGGATTATACTTTAAGAGGAGGAATACAGGGCTAAATATAGGAAATATGGAAGTGGATTAATATTCCTGAGTTTTTGCTCGATTTTAGATGGAGTTCAGCTCTGAACTTGTTGGGCCAAATGGCCTTTCCTCAATCCATGCATTATAGCTGCAGTTGGGACTTATTGCTCCCTGTCCCCGGAACATGCAGCCATGATGTTCCTGCTCTCTGGAAATTCTTCCAAAATCACTCCACCTTCTAGAAGTAGTTACTTGCATCTATCATGAGTGAGCGCTTTGATCTCTGATAATCCCACTGCCGATCCAGACATTCATGAGTTGCTCCAAACCAATCATCTCCTCCACCCTTTAAATATTATTACTTAGACAACTCACCACTAACTGGACTCAGCAAGTGTGGTAGCACAGTCTTTCTCCCACCCACCATCTTCTCCCACTATGGGGAGCTTGAACCTGCCTAGAAAGGTCTAGTCCAATACTTCCACATTAGAACATAAGAAATGCTAGACGAAAAAAAAAGACCAAAGGTCTATCTAGTTCACCTTCCTGGTGGTTGCATACCCATATGTCCTAAACTCCCTATGTACTATATCCCATAATGTTATTTCCTAAAACTATCAAATCTGTGTTTGAAGAAATCGACATTTCCTGCTTCAACTAAGTGCCTAGGGAGCCTGATCCACAGGTTCAGAATTCACTCACTGAAACATTTGTTCTGAATTAACCCCGTTTTCCATCCTAGGCCAGGTCCTCTGGTTTTACTATTCTGGACTAGTTGAAACAGTCATGATTTACATTGTCTAGCCCCTTTAGAATCTTAAAGACAGCAATCAAATCACCTCTCAATCTTCTTTTCCAGTGTGAACATGCCCGATTTACATTCGCTCCTCATAGCCCTCATCATTCTGGTTGTCCTCCTCTGTATCCTCCCAATTTCTCCAATATCCATTTTGTACTTCGGCGACTAAACTGTACAGTACTCTTAAGTATGGTCTCACCAATGATTTATACAGGAATACCCCACTATTTCGGCTACAATTCTCCGAGGTTCAGATGAAGGAAATCCTCTCATCCATTTGATCTCAACCCTTCCAGAACGCCAACGTCACGCAGTTTCAATAAAACCAGCACCGTGACCCCAATCGGCCTTCCTGATAACCCACTCCAGCTGTTGCTCACCCTTTAGTTTCTGTTACTTGGCCTAAACATGCCCTTCAGTCCTTGAAACTGTAATGACCAATGCTTTGGGCTGGAGACGTCATCTTAAGAAAAAGTTGCTGTGCTCAATTATTTGATCCTTGTTGCCGCGTGGGATTATTTTGTAGTAAAGTGAATTTTATTACTTAACCTCTGTGTTGCCTGCCAGCTGGCTGCTCCCAGAAAGAAAAGCCTTGCTGCAGTATGCCATCTCTCTGTTGCTGTAAGTCATTTAATTTCACTAGGAGATAAAAATAAAATGCAACACATTAATTTTTATGTGGAAAACAACTCAGCCCACTCTTTGTTCCAGCGCGGAGCAGGGCTGACACTCTGGTTTGTTGTGCAACTCCAACCCCCGCAGTTTGAACTAAATCTCTCCTCCGCTCTGGGGCTTTTAATGCCACACCTGCTCCACATGTTCAGCTGGCATCATCTGACAAGGAAAAAGGTGACGTTTTGTTCTCATTTCAAACCTTTTTTTTCTCTTTATTAATTCTCGCTGACATTCCCTGTAATCATCTGCAGGCTCTTCCTCGATGGACCTGCAGAAATGGAGCAATAATGCTTCAATCCTCCTGGTGTGAACATTGGAACGAACACATCAAATAAACGCCTACGTAGAACTCCACACCGTGGATTGAATCCAAGGCTGAACCACATTAGGATTCAGTTAATCACAAGCCATATTCTTGAGTTTTTGCTGGCGCTTGAACCCCTCAATTAATTTTCTAGCTTATAACTCACTCTCAGAGATTCATTATTCTATTTATAACCAAACATCGCCCTTGATTGATTGCAGCCAGTAGCTCACTAAGAGATCCATTCTTCCACATATAAACATCCATAGCCATCAATTACATTTCAGGCTATATTGCACTACTAAGGATCTATTATTCTATATATAGAGACAATCAAACCCCTCAACCAGAAGCTTACCTGGTTAATGTGGCCAGCATTATTCTGTATATAAATCTCCAGAACCCTTGGATTAGAACCCAGCCTGTGTAATTCACTTCCTGGGAATCTATAAACCTTCCAAACTTCTTGATTAGAATCCAGCTTTTAACTCGCTCCAAAGGATCCATTATTCTATTTATAAACCATCCAAAGTCCTCGATTAAATTCCAGCCTGTGACTCACTCCCAGGAATACAATATGGTTATGCAAGTAACTAAAAAGCACCAAAGCAGAAAAAGTCACTGAGTCCATCAAGCCCACTTCACCCTCAGCCTCCTGACAGCCTGCAATAATTTCTGGATTTTAACTGAGCCCCAAAAATCACACAAAATCTACACAAAGCACAGGATGCTGCGATTCAGTCATCATGCTTTTGACACCGCTAAGATGGCCAAAATAGCAGCCAGAACTCCTGCAAACTCCCCATTGCTCTCTTATAGAGTGCATGTGCTGAGGACAAGTAAGGCTTAGCTGTGGTGCTCTCATAGCCAAATAGCCTAGTTGACTGGAGACCTGGAAACTGTACACTGTCAAGTCAGCATCTGAAGAAACTGACACCAAAAAACTAGGATTCACTTTCTTGCCTATTCCTTTTTCACTCTCGAAGCTCAGTGCAAGCTGAGACTCTATAGAACTGCTGCATAGCCTTGTTTCCAGTGAGACATTAAACCGAGATCCCGTCTACCTGTTATTCAGATCCATGTTAGAATCCAATGAAATCATTCATAAGAAGAGAATTTCATCCGGGTTCCTGGCCAACAATCTTCCCGATACAACTGGTCATTAATTGGACTGTTTCGACCTTGTTGTGCCCAAAATAGCAGCTACATTCATGTACAAAAACAGTTACTACACATGACAGCAATCACTGTAAAAACACTTTGAAACATTAAAGCGATGAGAAGGTAACAAAATGTAAATTGGTTTTAACATATACAAAGTGCACATACACCATTCCTCCCTCCGCTTTTCCTACACGTTTAAAAAAGTAAAGAGCATTTCAATACAGCAAGAAAAAACACACCGACTTGGTAGGGTTTAAGTTTTTTTTTGTCGTCGATTTTATTAAAATATTTCATACCAATGATTACAGCCACAAATATGATTGTTTCCAACTTTAAAAAAAGGAAAACTGTAGGAGGCTAGAGCAAGAGAGAGAGAGAGATGGTGAGAGAGAGAGAGAGAGAGAGAGGGATAACGAGAGTAAAAGAATGCAAGAGAAAGGAGCGAGAAAGAGAGCAAGGTTAAACTTGTTTTTGTATTCGGACATCGAAACTCACAGTAACAATGACCGTTAACAGCACAAACTTAGGATTCAGATTGAATTTCTAACCTGGTTTCTACTTCACATTACAACCAACATTATAAATTCCCATTCCATTCTAAACGGAAGAAAAATAACATTAGGGCTTTTTTTTCCTTTTTTAATATTAAAGATATTTTGTGAAAACTCGTGATGTAAGAATAAGTTACTTGCTACAAGTCCCCACAGGCGTACCTGAGGCAAGGTTCTAATGCTACATTAGATGGTGCGAACATTAATGCTTAGAAAGCAAACTCGAAAACAGCTCGTCTGTCTTTTTATATATTATTATGTTATAATATATAGAGACACAAAAGTAAAAGCACAAGCTTCTGAGAGCCCTGCGATACACTGCAAGATGTGGTGTGCCCAGAAGCTCAACTAAAGCCCATGGCATTAGTCCTTAAATAAAAACACTTCCAGTCTAAAGAGAATTCATCTGGGGAGTGATAATGGCCAGATTGGGGGAGGGGGGGTGGGGAGAAGAGGGTTAATGGCCAGGTTGGGGGGGGGAGCAGGGGGAAAGGGGGAGTGGTAATGGCCAGGTTGGGGTGGGGAGTTGGGGTTAACACCGTTAATTTTTTTTAAAAAAAGCCAACAGTGGTTTGGGTTCTGGGTGACACTTCCTTAGATACTATAACAGGAACGGAGAGAAAACCAGCAACAACTCACAAAGGGTGGGGGGGGAAGGGGGGAGAGAGGGAGAGACCCGAACCTCTCGATCGCCAGCCAAGTAACAATAAATGTCTGAAGGGACTTGGCGCAAGTTACCAAGCAACTAAGAAAAGAAATCACAAAGTTAGGGTTTTTTTTTGCCTGAGAATTCTGTGCACTGACCCAAACGCATTTCTGTATGCAAAAGTAGGAAGTACTGTATATTTTTACTTTTTTTTAAAGTATATTCACAGCTAAACAAATCTGTGGCATCTACAAAACTGTACACAGACAGTACATTCATGGCTGACTTGAGGTACTACAAGGTTTTCTTTCCTTTTTACAAGGTCACAGAAGAAATTACTGACAATTAATTAGAATGCAGTGTTCTTCACCTGCATTCTCTACGGTCTATAGTCTCAGTTCTTTTTTTCCTTTTTTTTTTGCTGTGAACTTTAGGGCTACTTCCTGATGGAAGTTTAAAGGACAAAGGTGAGGAATGCCATTTTTTTTCTTCTTCGGTTCCCCCCTCCCCCACAGAGAGAGAGAGAGAGAGAGAGAGACAGAGATATATATATATAGAGAGAGAGAGAGAGAGAGAGAGCAAGAGAGAGAGAGAGCAAGAGAGCTGCTACTGGTCGGCAGGGATCTCTCTGTCGGGTTCCGATTTGGCAGTCAAGCCGGGGGATGGAGTGTGCGAGGGGTGGGCAACTGAAGTCATCCCGTGCTGCATGGGCAGGGCTCCAGCTACAATTCCTTCCACCGCAGCCGAGGGGATACCTGCTGCTGTCACCCCGACCACTCCGCTTGGAAATCTGGGGGGTTTGGAAGAGGAATTCTTTTTAAAAAAAGCAAACACCCAAACAGAGAGACTGAAGTTAAACAAACACCAGCTATCCTGGGGTACGACAGCATCAAACCTTGGTTTCCCAACCCACAAACTAACAAACATGTTCATCTTTACAGTGTGACCGAGAGAACGAGCGAACTGTGCAATCATTATCCATGGGGTAAAAGTCATGCATCGCTGCACCAGTGATTCACTGCAGCTCTGGGGGAGCCCTGCAGCGTCAAGTTGCTGTTAAACCCAGGTCCCATCTGCCTGCTCAAGTAAGGCTCCCACACCACTATTGGAAGGGAGTCACTCCTAGTGTCCTGGCCAACAATCTTTTCAATTAATTAAACCCTTTGCCACATGGCTGCTTATAAGACCTTGCTGTGCACAAATGGCTGCCACATTTACCCATGTAAACTGTCATCAGACTCGACAATAATCTCTGTGGAAACATTTTGACATGAAACTATATAAAAAGGCAAGTTTTTTTTTTACTGAGTTTCACTCAACACACAACACTGCCATTCTCTGCGATTACTTTCTCTGCCAATGCTTCATTACGTCGTACTCCACCATTATCAACCACTCTGGGACGCTACCCATGTGAGGGACGCTATATAAATGTAAATTGTTGTACATCTTTCCAGTTTCTTTTCAAGCAACTGTTTACAATAAAATCCTACAACCTCTTAAACATTAACAACTAACTACATTTAACTTTAATCAAATTTTCTAAACAATCTCATTGTTCGAGTATCCCCTCTGAATTTGCTCTAAACTTCTCTCAATCTCCTCTACATATCAAATTGATTCATCCTCACTCAATTCAGTCTCTACCACCAACCTGAGGCCCTCGGGCCGGAATTGGCTCAGAGAGCCATCAAGAAGCCCCCACCCCCCCAACCCCAGATATGCCCACAAGTCTAGGTAAGTCCGTGTTCGATCGCTGGTGTGTATTCAGGTTTTTCTTGATTGAATATTTCTTTACCATAAATCAAGAGATATTCAATCAAGAACATTTATTTTGTTAGCTGACCATAATGGGTGGACACCACTGCCCTATGCCCTCAAGTCAGTGTGAATCTGCAGCCTGGTATCTGAGTACCTTGTGTGGAGTGCTATATTGTTGTTGAGTACAGCTAGCAGGAAGGTCTGCCAGAGATCACCTCATAACCCTTCACAGGGCTTTGCTGTGTGAAAATTGTCCTCTAAAATTACCTACAAAGAATGTACACTTGATTGACAGTCATTACAGTGAAGCGACCAGACAGTGACTTGAGAAGGTGCTATAAAAAGTTGTCTCTCCTGACCTGTAAGCAGCTCCATTCAGCTCCGGGTGAACAGCTGCAGGGTCAATGCTGGTCCACTGAGCCGCGGCTGACAGATACTCTTTGTTCACACAGTTTTTCAAAGCATCAGGAATACGACCTGCAGAAAATGATAATTGGTAAAATATAAAATTACTCATTCACCTTGTCGTTGTGTGTCAAATGTGGAAAATGCTTGCAATGTTTGAATACAAACTCAGTCACTCCACTCGACAGGAATTGCTGTAACACACTTCAAGATGTTTTGTTACCATGGGGTATAAAAATGCAGGTTGGTTCTGCATTTTGGGTCTGAGCTATCACTCAAGCCCGGGATTGCCCTCGTACATGAGCTGCAGTGATTATAGGAAAAGCCACGGTGCCAAAAATCCAGAAGAAACTCTGGAGGTATGTAAAATCTTGATCTGCCTTTGAAACAGTGGCAGGTTGTTTCAGGTAGGACCGTCCTTCAGCAAAATGCTGAATGTTGGGAGCCTGGACATCCTCGAATAATATATAATAATAATCCTTGCATTTGATATAATGCTTTTCACATCTTCTCGACATCTCAAAGCGCTTCACAGAATATGCTGTAAAGTGAACTGACTATATATTTGTGGGTGAACGCGGCAGCCAATTGCGCACAGCAGTGTCCCACAAACAGTCGTGGATTGAAAATGACCAATTTATTATCGTTTTGTTTTTGGAGGGATTATTATTAGGCGTGTGGAGCAAGGAAACTTGCCCAAGGTTTCGCCCTGCCTGGAAATGAACTCAGGTCTCTTGCTTACAAGGGAAGTGCTCTTACCACTGAGCTACAGGACTCCACATAAGAATAATGTACAGGCAGGGATGGAGTAAGAGACAGGAGACAAAATATACTGAAATACAACTCTAGCCTACAGCAGTTGTTTAAGAATCATCAATTTGCATAAAGTGCATCTATTTGTATTTCTAATCCAAAAACATGGCCCGTGTTGCAGTAAAATAGCATCAGATAGGTGTGGTCAGTAGTTGAAATGTTACAATAGTACCACAATTTTCATTATGAGAAACAGAATATCAATGGTGTCATAAAAAACACTCATGTTGCCAACAATGACGTAAAATTCTACGATGTGCAAATAAGTATAATTCGTTCCCACACCTGGTTCGGCATTGTTTATGCTGTAATGTTTTCTATCACCAGGTGGCACAGTGCACTTGTTCATTGTAAAAAGCACACTGGTGCCCTCCCCTGACATAGAATCAACACTGCACCCAACAACAGCACCAATAATAATAATCCTTGCATTTGATATAGCACCTTATCACATCTTATAGAAGTCCCAAAGCACTTCACTAAATATACTGTGACGTGAATTGACTGTAAATTTGTGGGCGAAACGCAGCAGCCAATTGTGCACAGCAGTGTCCTACGAAAAGTTTAGGATTGAGTGACCAATTTATTATTATTATTTTTGAAGGAATTTTTAACCCCAGAAAAGTGATCCGACAATCGACTAACAATCGGGTTCCTACTTACTGCTAGGTAAACAGAGGTGTGTGGAATAAGGAAAATTGTCCAACGTTTCGCCCTACCGGGAATCAAACCCAAGTCTCTTGCTTGCGAGGCAAGTGCTAAGCAATGTAGTCGTTTAGTACTAAAATCCTAGGACTCCAGCGTTAAAGTTATCCGGGGGTGGGGGGGTAGGAAGAGAGCAAACGGGTAACTCCTTGGGTTAATCTGGTTCTGTTCTGTTATTGAAATTGCAAATAACTGGAGAACTGATAACACAGATGCTCTTTGTTCACGCAGTAACAGCGCAGTTGCCAGTGTTATTCAGAAGAGGATATAAAGAGGTCCAGACAATCACACGTGTGATATAAAAGCACTCAGGTGAGACAGGACCATACTCACCTGTGATAGCTCTGCGGATCTCTCGAGCCGCTTCTTCGCGGACTTCAATCGATGCCTGCTCACTGTACCATGCCGTGTGTGGGGTGCAGATAAGGTTTGGCGCGTCCTTTAGGGGTCCCTGACTAAAACTGGGGAAAACAAAGTCAACATCAGACATAGGGTCCAAACAGTGTATTATGTCTGGCTCAGTTGCTAGCACTCTTGCCTCCGAGTCAGAGAGTTGTGAGTTCAAACCCCACGTCGGAAATTGGAACTCATAGTGTAGGTTGACATTCCAATGCAATGCTGCATTCATGGAGGTGACGTCCTTCGGATGAGACATTAAACTGAGGCCCTATCTGCTTGTTCAGGTGAACATTAAATATCCCATGAACATTATTCAAATTGAAACTGAAAAGAGAAGGGAGTTTCTCCCCATGTTCACTTCCACCCCCTTTGCCTTTCACCTCTCTCGACTCTTGGGGGATGAATATTAATAACCTTTCACTGTCCAGCACCTTGGTTCATCCTCCCGGCAAGAAAGGCATTGTATAAATAAAATGAGTCAACGTTTCCTTTCTCCATAGATGCTGCCTGACCTGCTGAGTGTTACCAGCGACTTCTGTTTTTGTTTCAGATTTCCAGCATCTGCAATATTTTGCGTTTTGTTGTATAAATAAAATTTGTTGATTTTTTTTCTTCTTCGATCTCCCAACATTGTCCTCCCAATATGGAAAGGTGCTAAATAAATGTAAATTTGTATTCTATTGTTGTAAGACATTTCTATGTAATAGATCCCCCAATAACCCCCCATGTTTCAAGTATCTCCTGCACATTCCTCGCCCCCCCCTTTCAGCCAACAATCTCCCAAATGAAATTAGTCACTCACTCCTTGGCTGTTTGCACAAATTGGCTTCCGTTTTCATCCACAAAATACAGTGAATTTAACAGGGAATCTTGTGAAGCACTTTGGGACGGCCTCCTAACATGGAAGACTCTACACCAAAATCTAAGAATTATTATTTGGATTGTTTCAGTCAATGCTATTTTTTTCCACACAAACAGAAACTGGCACTGACTTGTGCCAGGTAGGTCCCACAGGTAACTCGACAAAGCGAGTATCAGCAGGTATGTCGTACGATACCATATCTGATCCAAGCTGTTAAACACGGTACGAGATTGATCCCACATTAAACTGAGGACCTGCCTGTCAGTTGAGACGAATGTTAAAGATCCCATGACATTATTCAAACAGAAAAGTTTCTACCGTTCTCCTAACCAATGATCCCCCATGTTTCAAGCATCTCCTGCACATTCCTCAACCCCTCTGCTCCACAATTGTTTACTGTTCTTTCAGCCACCATGCTCTGAATCTTTGGAACTTCTTGCCTCAATCTCTTTGTCTTGCCCCCTCTTTGCCTGTCTACAAACTACACCTGAAGATTTTCTTCTTCAATCTCCCTACATTGTCCTCCCAACATGGAAAGGTGCTAATAAATGTAAATTTGTACTGTATTGTTGTAAGACATTTCTACGTAATAGGCAATATCAAATGCAATGATGATAATAAAAGACCGACCAAAACTTTACTGCTATTAAAACATCTGAGGAAATGAGTATTGTACGGGACAGTTAATCAGAGCCCCCCTCTCTCTCCTCCCCCAGATGGAGATTCTCCATGTTCTTGGTCCCCCACCTGAAAGGTTCGGACTCGTGGACATCTAACGCTGCTCCTCGAATCCGCCCGTCTTTCAAAGCCTGAGCCAAAGCCTTTTCATCCACCAGCCCCCCTCGCGCTGTGTTCACCAGGAAGGCCCCCTGACGCATCTGTGGGTCAGATAACAAGAGAGCACGATGTGTGCGGACAATTGGAAAAATTCCACGAAAAAATTAATACCAGCCAGCATGTAAACGCACAAGAGTAGGCTGGAACACACTGCACAATGGGCAAGAGAGGGCAATATACTTGCTCTGAGGCAGTAGTGTTGGCATGAAACCGGACCCAAAGCAGGCACCTCCCTTCCCCACCCCACCTTCCTACCCCCCAAACAGAATTACATATTTGCAGGCAGCAAATTCAAAGATGTAATCTCAGGGTTCACATTACATTTCAAAACCATTTCATCCAATTGAGCGGCCCAGATGGGTATAATGCATTTCTGAGAATTTACAAGCTGGAATCTAATCCGATGGGTGGGGGGGTAGGGGAGAGGTGGGGTGGATGATCAGAACTCCACTGTGTAGGAATGTTTGTTGCACTGTAATTTTTGGGGGTGGAGAGGAAAGCCTGCTGTTCTTGCCTGTTTGATGGTGAAGTCGTTGATGAGATGGTGATTGTGCTCGTTCAGACTGCAGTGCAGGGTGACACAGTCACTGTGAACCAGCAGGTCCTGTAAGGTGCTTATTCTCTGGAGACCCAGCGACTTCTCCACTCCGTCCGGAAGGTACGGGTCGTAGAAGATCACGTTAAATCCAAATGTTTTCGCTCGCAAAGCCACTGCCTGACCAACACGTCCTGTTGGAGAAAGGATCCAGTTGGGATGGCAGGAGGGGAATAGAGAGAGACAATGTGCACATCTTAATAAACACAAACTAAACTTGAAGCAAAACTACGAAAACAACACCCAAACAAAAGCACTGGAAGCTGATCAGCATCTTAAGTTATGAGCCTCTCAAAAGAGTGTTCTTGCCACCCTGACCCCAAGCTGATCATCATACACTTTGTAGTTTTTCTTGAGCTCCACAGCTGTCTCTGTGACCAGATCCTAAGCACCCAGACTATACATAAACAATACAGAGTTTGCACATAGAATAGATACCAGAGGGCAAGGACAAACATTCTAAAATACAAGATTGCAAAAAGAAAAAAATGTGGTTAAACCTTTCTCAGTGCTTCTGGTGTTGGGGAAGTCAACTCTTCATCTCTCCCTACCCAGAACTGAATTTTCAACTCCATCTACAGCTGCAATGTAGCAACTACTACAGAGAATAACTGGGCTAGACCGAGTTGGTGTCTTCATCTTTGGGATAAAGCTCTAATCCTTTTCTCCAATATCGAAGGGTTCCTAATGGAGACACGCTCATTATGGTACCACCACCCCGCACCTCATCCCAGTCTCTCAGCAGCAATTAGTGACTGCAGTGAGAGGTCAAGAATAAATTTATTTAGAACAAGTCCATGGGAAGGACGGATAGACACACTCCGCTAATCACCCACCCAGGCCTATGATTCCCAGAGTCTCTCCACGGATTCGAGCTGCTCCCGCGGCCACCTCCCGAATCTGCTCAACACTTGATACCCTTGTGCCCTCCCGCAAGGCCTGGTGGAGCCACGTTGTCCGCCTGTAGAGGTTTAATATGTGGCACAGAGTCGAGTCTGCCGTTTCCTCCACCGATGAAGAAGGAATGTTGCACACTGCAATCCCTGTAACACAGACAAGCAGTCATCAGAATGTTCATAGTTGCAAGGCTAGTGCCTCCCTCTCCTTCCTTGTGTGTTAGCCTGACTCAGTGGTAACACTCTCGCCTCTGAGTCAGAAGGTTGCAGATTCAAGCTTTGGAACGTGAACTTACATAGTCTAAGCTGACACTCCAATGCAGTGCTGGGTGGGGGATTGCATTGTAGGAGGTGCCGTCCTTCAGATGAGAAGTTAAATTAAGGTCTCATCTGCCTGTTCAGGGACGTTAAAGATTCCATGGCACCAATCGGAAAGAGAAGGGAGTTTCTCTTGGTGCCCTGGCCAACAATCTCCCACAAATAAAATCGGTCATTCATTTCATGGCTATTTGTGGGAGATTGATGTGGTGAATTGACTGCCGTGTTCACCTACAGGCATTCCACTTTACAGTAAATTCTGTGAAGTCCTTTGGGACATCCTCCTGATGTGTAAGGTGCTATACCGAAAGCAAGGATAATTATTAATATTCACCCTCCAGTTATTGACCACCCGTATCTATCCTCTGTAAGTGTCCCCTCTCACTCATCCTTGGCTAGTGCCAATGGGTTTAAGATGCCGCGCCAAGAAAGCAGAGCCCAGCGGGAATTTCTTACCCAAATCTGCTGCTGATTTAATGTCGACGTTGTCATAACCACTGCCAATCCTGACGATGATTCGAAGTGCTTTAAATTTCTCAAGGTCCTCGCGTGTTAATGTAATAGTGTGGTACATCAAGGCTCCCACCGCTTCATTCAGTACCTATTCAGGATGAGAGTGAGAAAATTAACTGCAACTACTTCAATCCTGTTTTCACCTAAAATACCATTGAATGCATGGTACAGTTACACTTAGTAAACGATACCCCAAACACTCACGGCAACATTGCAAAACAAAGTAATTCTTAACATTGCATAATGCAGCAATGTACAAGACAATATAGGAACAGGGGTAGGCCATTCAGGACCTGTTCCGCCATTCTATTAAATCACGGCTGATCTGTACCTCAACTCCAAATACCCGCCTTTGACCCAATTTATATAGTGTCTTTTATATCAAGAGGACATCTCAAAGCACTGCAGATTAGGTACCCAAGCTGTTAGGGTAAGAGCTGAGGGGAGTTCAGAGGGAAAAGATGATTGAAAGTATGATCAAAGAAGTGCATGTTGAAAGTGTAATCTAACAGTTATAGGCTTGATGGGCTAAATGGCTTCTATCTATATACATAACAGTTCTGTTTCATAAAAGATTTACTGATTCCAAGTAAATGTGTAGAGAAATGCGGATAAAAGTTTGCTGCAGAAGAGACAAATTTGCTGCATTGTATCTCCACCACAATTAATCATTATCTAGATATATCAATTGCCAGAGAACATCTGTACTGATATGCAACATCTATTCTGTATGCCCATGAAGGTGTTAAAGGGGTTTCGTTTTCTAATGGCAGGGAAGTTTAGATTTCAATTAATGAACAGGCCCTGAAATATTTATTCAGCTGTTGTTAAGTTCAATGTTTTGTGACAAAATCATCAGCTTACTTCCATATCATTGCCTACAGCTTTTAATAACTTGTAAGAATATAAAACTTGATATCTATTATACAATTGCCATCCATCCTGTTCCAGTACAATAAACGGCTCGAGACACTGCAGGACCCAATAGTGCCAAACATTACACATGGCCTTCAGCACAAATGGGTTTTACACAGTTTGTACCTCATTGTTAAGGAGTAAGGAGACAATAATAATAATAATCCTTGCATTTGATATAGCACCATATCATGTCGTTGAGACCTCTCAAAGAGATTCACAGAATATGCTATAAATTGACTATATTCTGTGGCCGAAACATGGCACAGTAGTGTATTGAGTGACCAAATTATTTATTTATTTTTGGAGGGATTATTACAATCTTTTGGAGCTGATCAATGAATACCCATGAACCAAGGACCTCTGCACCCTTCTTGGTTTTTATTTTCCTTGAACCTTGCATTTTATTCACTTACAGCGACTCCACACGTGCCTGTCTGCAAGAATGTTATCATCTTTTTTTCAGATCCCTCACTTGTTTTCTAGCTCTTGGTATCTTCCCTTTGCAACACATATTTGTTTGGACCCATTTCCATAGTAACCAAACTAGGTGGTGCCTAGTGCCCCAGTTGTGAATTGAGTGACCAAATTATTTACTTTTTTTTTTTGAAGGGATTTATTTTTATTACCTATAGCGATCTGCCAATCGACTAACAACCGGGTTCCTACTTCTACTAGGTAAACAGAATGGAGTAAGGAAACTTGCCTAAGGTTTCACATGAAAGAACAAAATGGATACAAGAGATTTTTTTTAAAAAGAGGTAATATTGTGGAGAATATGCAGTCTTCTGAGTAACATCCATGATATACAGGCAAAGTCAATATTACTGAGATAATTGCTAGAAGCAATACTAGGGAATTAATACAGCATGGAGATTTTCCAACTAGGGTCAATCAACAGAGTTTTGGACCAGTCTATACCTCAGTATCTCATTTGTGATCCATAATATTGTCTTGGGATTGGGCTTTGCCAGGCATGTCTTCTTGGGGCAATTACAGTTCCAGGGAAGCCACTGGCTGCTGTCTGAGGATAGATGCATTATTTTCAAATAGATACTTGAAAAGGTGAAGCGCTACTTGTACCCATCAAGATTTGAAATGGTCTTCCCCTCCCCCGTTGGGACTATCTTCTATTGAGGTCTTACCTTCTCGTGAATCTCCTGAGTAGACTGCGCATCACAGAATGCCACGGTCGCCACATCTTTCAGGATCGGCATCTCCACAGTGCAGTCCCGCCCGTCCAGCAACGCCACCAGGGGGCGCGGGTGCATTGGGCCATTTAAAATGGGAGGGCGAATGCCTAGGAACAAAACCAGGAAGTTGATTAGTATTTGAGCCACTCAACGAGAAGCTTCTCGACAACCCTTAGCTTCTCAACGCTCACCCACAGACACACCAATACCTTGGTGCCCACCTCTAGACAGACCCTTATGGTGGTAAATGTCAAACTAAGTGTCAAATGCATGAAGTAAGAACATTGACCAGGACACCAGAAATACTCCCCACCCTTGAGTAGTGCTGGAGTCCTGGAGCTCAGTGGTTAAGAGCATTCTCCTTGCAAGCAAGTGGACCTGGGTTCGATTCCTGGGCAGGGTGACAGGGTGAAACGTTGGGCATTTTTCCTTATTCCACACGCCTCTGTTCACCTAGCAGTAAGCAGGAACCCGGTTTTTAGTCAATTGGAAGATCGCTTTTCTGGCTGTTTTCAGGAAATGTGATCTTTACTCTGATATGCAGTTGCCATTCAAACTTTTTTAAAAAAAAATTCAATCCATGACTGTTTATGGGACACTGCTGTGTGTGATTGGCTGCCGTGTTTCGCCCACAAAATATATACAGCCAATTCACTTTAAAGTGTATTCTGTGAAGGGCTTTGAGACGTCTCAAAGCCATGATAAGGCCCTATATCAAATGCAAGGATTACTATTATTATTCAAATAATGCAAGCATCTATAATGTCCACATGAACCACAGGAACAAATAGACAAGACTTTGCCTAACGTCTCCTTTGAAATGTGGCACTTTAAACACAGCATTCCTTTAATACTGCACTGAAGTGTCTATGAACACATGGGTCTTGAACCTTCAAACAGGAAAACTGTTGGGTGCAAGTTCCACGAAACATTATAGATGCCCACATTATTCTGCAGTTTCCCACCCCCGGACTGGAAGAACCCTCACTGGTTATTTTGCACTTTACTTGATACTAATGAAAAATCTCCACATTTCCCTCCACCTATGCTTATTCCAATTTCCTCTGTTCAGAATATGGTCTCAGCATCAGTTGTTTTTGAGTGGTATTATTCTTCCAATCTTCATTCTTTCCAATTTGTTAATTTATTGTTTGTGTGTGCGTGCATTCATGTTTGAATATATACATGGAAGTACTGTATATTATACATGTATATATATCCTCACTTTGAATTTCAATGTGTAGGTGGGATGCATGGAACTGAAGTTTGGTCTGAATACTCAATCCTGGTAACGAGTTTCTCAATAGAAAGAGAGAATGCCCGTATGCGAGTATGTAAGTGTATGATTTCCAGGTGAGCTATGACGAGTGGCTCAATGGTCAGGTGAGACAAGTCTCCATATAAATGAAGTCAGGCACAAGATCAACTCCATTTTTGGAAACGACATTGAAGGGTGAGTCTTTGCCAATCTCCAATGGCTCCCAATTACTGAACAGATCGATTACAAGATCCTCTCACTTGTTTTCAAATCCCTTCATGCACTCACACCTCCCTACCCATCCGAATTGCTTAACCCCCACTCCACCACCCGCTGCCACCGTTCAGCTAGTTCCGGCTTCTTGTTTATCCATCATCCCCTGCGCTCCACCATCGGGCCGCGCCTTCAGCCACTACTGAAATTATGTCTCTCAATCCCTCCCTACCTTCAAATCCCGCCTAAAGACCTTCATTTTTTATTGTGCTTACGATCACTTCCCCCTCTCTCTGGCTTATTGTCAGATTCCGCCACTGTCAAGCGCTCTGGGACACTACCCCGCATGAAGGGCCCTATATAAGTTGTTGTTGTGCGCTCTATGCTGTAAGTACACTCCCATGCACCATCTTTCTTTAATCTGGCTGTTTTCAGGAAATGTGATCTTTACTCTAATATACAGTTGCCAAACTTATTTTTCTGTTTGTTTTCTACAATTACAATCCTGTTCGTTTGCCACATAGAAATTACAATACCCTGCGCACCAGTGACTATGGAATCAGGACATCGAGATCTTTCCTTTATATATTAAGAACAAAAAGGCAGAAGTAGTCTATTGGAAAGGAGAGAAATACTGGCGTAGGAAACCAATATCAAGTTCAGTTCTGCAGAATCCTGACAGATCCTGGATCTAAAAATACACCAGACAATAAGGTTCGACACAATGCCTGGAGCAACAAGGGCAGATTTATAAACAGGAATAAATAAGCTGGATAGTTAATCAGTTAGCTGCTAAGTCTGAAAAACGTTTTTTGTGAAAAATGAAAATTTGACATGAAATCCTTGAGGCTCCAACTAATTATGAGTTGAATGGGTGTATGTGCTTCAATCCTTTGCCTTATCAAGTCACAGGAAGTCAAGCTCATGGGCAAACATAGTCTTTGTTCTCGTCATTCAGTTGTCCAGCATTACGCAATTCAGCAATTCATCAACATGTACTGCATGCAACCACTGCTGGCCCCAGCCTTCATCCAAGATATTACACATGTATTATATTAACACTATGTATTGCAAATTATTATTACTGCTAAGTATCATTATGCATTATACTATGCATTAAGTTTCTGTATGTATATTACATCAGTAATTTACCATGTTCCTCAGGGCTCTGTCCTTGGTCCCTTCCTCTTCAACATCTATATGCTCCCTCTCGGTGACATCATCCGGAGACATGCTTCCTCATGCATGCGGATGACACCCAACTCTATCTCTCTGCTGCCACCCTAGACTCCAGGACCACTGCTGTCAGACATCAAGTCCTGGATGAGAGCTAACTTGCTCCAGTTGAACATCAACAAGACCAAAGCCCTCCTGATTGGCTCCTATCAACGCCTCCTCACATTAGGTGCTGACAGCAGCACCATCCATGGATGCACATTCCATATCTGCGCCATGACCCGCTCTGCCTTCCCCCACCTCCACAACATCCGCCACTGTCTCACACTGCAGGCCACCGAGACCGTCATACATGCATTCTTAACATCCAGGTTTGACTATGCAGATCATCCAAACCTCTGTAGCCCGTGTCCTCTCCCGTACCAGGTTCCGCGATACTATCACCCCGATCCTCGCCCGACTCCACTGAGGATACAGTTGACGATCCTGGTCCTCACCTTCAAAGCCCTCCATGGTCTTGCTCCCCCCTACTTCTGCGACCTCCTAACCCCCTACTAACCTGCCCGCTCCGTCCGCTCAGCATGGCCTGCTTCATGCCCCCGTCTCAAAGTGCTACACAGAAAATTGTGGGCGGACCTTCAGCCACTCTGCCCCCACCCTCTGGAACTCCATCCCGCAGTCCCTCCACCTCGCCTCCTGCCTTGCCTCCTTCAAGACATGTTTCAAGACCTTCCTCTTCAATCATGCCTTCGATCACCCCCAGCTCGGGTCCAAAACAGATTGTCCAGCGCCTTGGGATGTCCCCCCGACGTGAAAGGCACAAAACAAGTGTAATTTTGTTGCTGTTGTATATTATGTTATATATTATGTTACTACACAGCACTAAATTACACTATAAAATGTACAGTCAATCCACTTTGCAATATTTTCTGGGAAGCACTTTGAGACGTCTCAATGACATGATAAGTCGTTATATCAAATGCAATGATTATTATTGATGTCACTATTAATTGGTAAATTGCAGGACTTATTGTATTGCTCTATATAATATATTCTCCTGTGATTACTGGTTATAACCGAGGCACTCTACAGGTGTACAGTAACTTAGCTTATTATACATGCACTAAATACAAACCGTTGAGCCTTACATTCAGTGCACGATTTCTTGATAGCAACTCACCCCATTATTATGCTGCGTAATAAGGTCCGAACCGAAGACATTTTTTTGCCTTGTTGCACAGAGCTGCACTGCAAATTTCCTTCTCCCCACTATTCCGAGTTACAAAAAACGAAAAATTGTCATGTATATTAAAAAATATCTAGGCTGTGAAATGCTTTGGAGTTTAGATGCACAATTTGATGCAGCTTTGTGGTTCATCATGTGCTGCTGAGTGCATTTGATTACAATATGATCCAACCCAGTCTTTCATTCTTCACTTAACCCTTCAACCATATTGCCACTCACGTAAAAGCTAAGATGCAGTAAATAGTGAGCATGAGCTCTGTAACCCCTTCCTCTCTCCCTCCAGGCAAATTGTGCTAATAATAATAATTCTTGCATTTGTTATAGAGCCTGATCACGTTGTTGAGACACTTCAAAGAGCTTCACAGAATATATTCTAAAGTGACTGTATTTTGTGGGCGACACAGACATGAATGCAGATGCAGACTCCACTTCTGTACACTGCTGCACGTGTCACAAACATCGAGTAGCAACGAGCCAGTGTCAGCGTAGATCGCTGCAATTCATAAAGTCTCTCTCTAATCAGAAAGTTTATAAACAAGATTGTGCGATAAATTTGAGATTCCAGCCCCAAAGGGGTTAATCCAAGATTTAAGGCAGACAGAAAACCGCAAATGTAATCGAGAGATCCCACAACATGCAGGCAGGTCTGGGCATTGTTAACCTAAACACACATCTTCCAGTCCAACCAAGCGGCACAGATTTCTGTACTTTTCCCACCCCCTTCTTCACTGAAGACGGTATTCAACAAACAGCCAAGAAATGAATTCACAAACCCTGCCATCCCAGCAGCGAATTGAAGGAATAAGGGGTGGGAGAGGAGCAGGAAATCCACTGTTCAGGCAGTTCAATTAAGCATTTTGTTCATTGTTCCCAGACTTTGTTTGTGCCAGGCTATCAGAGACTGGTTTACCACATCTATCTAACTTGTGCTTCAATATTAAACATTCGTGAGCACTGATTTCCCCTTTCCCACCAAATACAACAGATCAATCAGTGTCACCAGATTCCAGAGCTAATCTCACTCAGATTAGAGACAAAATACAAAACTGGAATTTGTCTATTACAATGCGAGGGGGGGCGGAGGGGTGGGAGGGAGAAGACAGAGAAAATGGATTTCGGGATTAGGGATGATGCGTCACTGTTTTTCATGGAATTTCTTTGAAATTCAAATTGCAATACAAGACTTCCTTTTTAAAAGATTTTTGTTAAAAAAA